CGAATCCGATACCGATACTGAGTTTCATGATGCAGATGTGGTTTTGCCTTATAAATCGGCATACACTCTACGTATGCTCTGGGATGGTATGCCTAAAGATGGTTGGATTGTGGATCCTGCTTCAAAATCATGCCAATGTCGGTTTAACGCTAAATTCGCGATGTGTTTACACGTCATTGAAGCGGCTAAAATACTAGGTATTCCATGTCCTGGTATGCCTAAACCAAAGCGGAAATTTGTAAATCGAAGTCAGAAAAGTCAACGGCGAAAAACAACTAACAGGCGGCCGAGTCGCCGACTAGCTCAAAGAGAGGCTGGGACTACTGGTGATGGCGCAAATGCGGACTGCATTGTATTTGGCCCTGACCTACCACCCGCTAGGGCTAACAGGTTTAGAGAACTGCGAAGCTATCCCCATAATGTGAGCGCAGGTGCGATATCAAGTCGTCCACTCTTAAGCCGCAACACATCTCCACGCAGGACAAGCAACGATACACAGCCTATCACTTTGATGGAGTTCCCAATATCCGACACCGAGTCAGTTCCAGCTTTCGTTTACAGCCCTCCTGTTCCTGTTCTACTGAGTGTATCCCACCAGCCGCTTCAAGGATCAGCAATACGACATAGTAGAGACCAACAGGAGACCTACTCGTCAACCTCTAACACCACAACTACGGCGCCTCCGTGTGAAATCTCAACAGTCACCTCACGCCTGTCCTGCGACCAAACGAAACGGAGGAGACTGTAGCAGACTTCTCTTTTGAGGGGTCTGTGTCGTTGGATGGGATAGCGACTTATCTAATCTTATTTTGTTTTCTAATAGTTATTTACTGTGAAATCCATAGTTACATTTTAATGATTCATAGTTTACCTTAGTCCCGCAGTTTGTTCACACGGTGTTATGGTCTTCATTTACGGTGACGCTGGTCCATTTCAGCTGTGTTGTAGTTAGTATAGACGGTGATTATCGCCGGATCTGCGTTGTGTGCAGCTGTTAACTTTACGGTGTTGAAATCCGGTAATACGGTGCTTCGATACGCTACTCCCACATAAGCAGGCCTCATTAACCCATCCTTTACAGATGTAGCACATTGCTAGATGTGGACGTCTGGTTGTTAACTGTTGAACTGCCATTTCGCTTGATCTCAACAGTAAACTCCCGTTCTAGTGCAGCGTGAATGACGTCGTAGAGTCCCGCAGAGAATATCAACGTCGGTACTTGCTGATCATTGAGCAGCTTGAAAAGCGGGTGGAAGCCGTGACGGAAGCTCAACGAGCCGAGAGCTACGGCTTGCTCCACCTGATCTTTGGTCAATTTGTATTCAACCAGCAGTGCGTGAAGATTTGTCAAAAGGATTGTGATAATTGCCACGCATTCTATGCCTCAGTGAACACGCAAGCTACCTTATTTTCGTACAGACGATCCCCTCGGTAGTCATAGCGTTGGGAGCCGCCAATTTATTCCTGTCTAAGGATATTCCTATCCATGAATGTACCACAAAAAGGATCCGAGTACCTCCAGCTTGGACCAGTAAACAAAATATACGATTAATGTTGCTCGTTACTGGCGAATCACCCTGTTTTACTCTCCCATTGCCAGTTTTCCTGGTTCAACATTCGGATTGGACGTGGCAGCAATATTGCTCTTGTGCAGTTATGACTGTTTCCATAGTTAAGCACCCCAGAATAGGAATATTTGACTTCAGATGTAATCCATTTTACGATTGAGGGGTGAGAGGGATAATATTTTGGGTTTGTATGTGACTGGTCAGCAGGAACCAGAGCTGTATCAGGCCCAACAATATCGCCGTGTGGCCACCATGGTGGCATCCGGACCAACACGGCCAGGCCCAAACACTAAGCAGCACCATCCTCGCGAACACAAGACTACCAAGGCTTCGTTGGTAGCAAAGGAACTGATCAATCTGCTTCCCAACAAGGCAACAAAGTGATGTGCATGCGATATCCGTCGAAAAAATACTGCACTGGACCAGCTCCAGGGAAATGCTCTGACCCTCAACCGCGCGCACTTTAAGCGTTAGTCTTACCGGTACACGTAAAGTCCTGGAGCGAAAACCATGTTCTCGGTCTAGCCTCTGACTTCAGCGATCTCTGACGCCTAACACCTAAATCAGCTGGAAGCACAGCGCCAAACCCTGCTAGTGGTCGGTGGCGTGGAGAACAACAGGCATTCTCCAACTCAGTACAGTCATCCACACGAGAAAAGTCGCTGGGTGAACAACATCAGAATACACAGGCATCTACAGCTTACACATCATTCTGTAATCAACAGCAACACGCATACATAACATTTCAAAATTCTCAACTTGCAGTCAGCAGCCAGCTTGAAGTCTCACGTCGCTGTCGGTATCAACCACTCGCGTCGATATATAATGTGGAGTTATCTGTACAACGAGAAGTACCGCTCAAAGGTCTCGACGTTGATCAAAATCGCGGTGACTCGCAGCTTGCAAGGGCGCTGAAGCAACCTCTCGAGCAGTCTTTCGTGGTGAAACAGCAGAGGACACCCGCCCGAACACGGATTTATTTGAACTCCCACTTCCAACAGACGCAACCTTGCGTGCGACCACAGTGCGGCGGAACGGAATCGTTCGGGACGGTGTTAAGCTACGGTGGAAGACGCAGAGGTCCACAATACAGCAGGAGCGGCCTTCGAACCATCGGACGATCAA